TCAATACGCCACAGATTCTCTGAAATGTTTGATGTAGTTATTATTGTTAAAATAGGTTCGGTGTGATTAAATATATTAACGTAATATATATTTCTCTTCGTCTTTTTTTCTTCTTTTGCCGCTATTTGAGTTAATGACGGAAAAAAAAGAGCGGAGAGAAGGGAGTCTAAAAAAAATGTGGAGAAAAAAATTGTTTACTCCCTGGTGACTGAGTGAAAAAGGTATGTGTGTGTGTGTGTGTGTGTGTGTGTGTGATAGAAAGAGAGGTAGAAAATGAGAGAGATTTCACTGTCTTTTAAAAATATATTTATTTTGATATACAAACTCACGCATATCTGTCAACAAAAGTGATCCATCATTACGGATGTTCTCTCTCCGTTATTCTCTCTCTCTCTCTCTCTCTCTCTCTCTCTCTCTCTCTCTCTCTCTCTCTCTCTCTCTCTCTCTCTCTCTCTCTCTCTCTCTCTCTCTCTCTCTCTCTCTCTCTCTCTCTCTCTCTCTTTCAATGGCGAATGTTTTTTTTTTTTCATCTGAAATGGGAAATCCAAAGATCCCGGATGTGTTTCTTATCCGTCTACCTAACTCTCCTTTGTTACTTATCTTTCTAACTCTGTACTCCCTCTCTCCTACCCTGCCTCCCTCCCTCCCTCTCTCTCCCTTTGACTCTCCCTCTTCTCCTGTCCCTCTGACTCTCTTTCTCTCTCTCTCTCTCTCTCTCTCTCTCTCTCTCTCTCTCTCTCTCTCTCTCTCTCTCTCTCTCTCTCTTCTCTCTCTCTCTCTCTCTCTCTCTCTCTCTCTCTCTCTCTCTCTCTCTCTCTCTCTCTCTCTCTCTCTCTCTCTTTCTCTTTCCCCCTCCCCCTCTCCCTCTTTCTCCTCTGTTTCTTCTCCCAATATTAGTAATACTTAGCTAGAGAAATATAGTCTACTTTTTGCAATGTGTAAGTGTTTCAAGATCAAGATATGCAATTTTTAATCAAATAACTGCAGTTGAAAAAAAAATCATCTTCGGAAGGTAATCTGAACGTAAAGAACTGAGTACGAAAAGGGAATCCGTGATCAGGTATGCTCTACGAACGTAATTGTTTACGGAGCAAATTTTTTTTTCCCCCGTTTTCGTTTCAGTCGTTAGAAGTTGGGGTTATTTGAAAATGACGGTTAGTGAGAGAAGTCCGCTAATATATATATATATAAAAAATGTATCAGAGTCAGAGAGAGAGAAAAAAAAATCTATATATCACACAATGATTTAGGATTCGTAGGATTCCCCAGTCCTGAAGAATAGCGACTGAAAGAGAGATTTTTGCACAATTACATCCATAACGACGTTAAGACCAGCCCTGCGTTCCGTTGGGCACTTCGCAGCGCTACGAAGCAAACAATTTCAACGAAACGGCCCATAGCGTGATACTGTGTTTTTTGTGTGGCGAACAAACGCTACGGTCCTGGGAAGTGGTGCGACTATCAAGCGAAGCGAACATTATTCACAAACATATTTAGTGCAGATTGCTATGGAACACTTTTCGGTATCGATTCTTCCATATGAAGTTTTAAGATAATCTCAAAACTAATGGGTACCTCTTGACTGGTATTTGACTACTTATTCAGCAAAGCAAAAGATTTTCAATGTGAAGAAACATGAGAACATGACTACTAACTCGCAAGCTTAGCTGCTGGACTATTAACGAGACACATGATATGAAAAGATAAAAAGATTACTGCTATAGATACTTGCATTAAGAAAAGCCATAGTAAATGTGATTAAGCAGAAAATTTAAAACGCAAATAGCTCCGTGGGTCAATGTTTGCATTTGAGCGCCACCTTAGCACTACAGACCTTTCCGTTCGAGCGTAGTCTTTGTAGCGCACAAAAGTATTCCGTAATTTCCAACGGAACGTAAGGCAGAAAAAAATAACGTTGATGAAGGTGATGATAACAATGATGTTGATAAAAAATAAATAGATGAAAGTTAAATAAATAGATATTAAATATACACATTTCAGTGACGACGAATGACGACGAAATAAAGACTAGATGACAAGCGATTTTTTTCTTCAGAGAAGGGAGTGTCATGTTTGTTTACACCACCAGGTACCATGACCGTTTCTCTTCGGTTGGGCCTGAGGTTTAGAGCCCCCCCCCCTCTCTCTCTCCTTAGCAGTTGCCCCTCCAACACTGTTTGTCTCCCCCTCCCCAAGGGTTAGATTGGCCTCTCCCCGGAAAAAAATATTTGGTACTAAATATACCGGTATAGGTGTGGTTATGGCTTTAAATGGACCTATAATAGATATTTTGTCTACATTTTTGTTCGCTTAACTCACCTACCCGTTAGAGAGAAAGAGAGAGAGAGAGAGAGAGAGAGAGAGAGTACATGTTTCTATAAATGCATATACATACACAATAACTATGTATAAATGCATACTATATGTGCTATTTGTGTAATGATTAGTATGTTTGTGTGTGAATATAGATTCTGTACATGTATAGGCATAAATATAGATA